ACTAATATTTCTTGAATTAAAAGATGAGAATTGCTAAATACTCTTAAACAGAGGCATCTCAGTCCCTCTGGAAGCAGTTTGTAAGACTACACAAGTCTGTAAGTTCCTATGGAGGTACATAAGCACTTCCCTGGCCAAGCCTTCTTGAATCATTTGGCAAAGTTGAATTACCTCCTTAAGAAGGAAGCAATCTTTCATGAAATGTAGACCCCTGAAGAATGGGAAGAGAAAATCCTGCCCTACCAAACCAGCCCTACAGTAATTTATGGAAGAACTGTGTTTGATTTCAGCTTTAGTTTTCAACTACTATCTACTTGCCACTTCCTTCACTTTTGTGTATGACTTTTGGCGGTGGCTTAAGTAAGAAACGACCTTTTAAGAATTACCGTTATGTAATTAACTTAACTTGTCAGGCGTTGGTCTCCAAGGTCCTTTCTCTTGCTCTTTGCATATCCAGCTGTGAGATAAACATGAAGCTCCAAAGGATTTAGGGCCATTATGGCTGTCTGGACTCTCAAGGCATTGTGTTTCCCTGAGAGGAAAATTTGCCTCCATTTATTGAGAGAGTGCCTAAGAAAAAGGAAGACCTGAATGCAAATAGGTTCTGAAGCTGTGTAGCAGAGCTCACTTGCTGACACGAGGCAGAGGCAAGTGCTGGCAGCTGTGTCATTCAGCCTGCTGTGGCCTCTGAGGCACATTGATTCCAGAAACCAGTAGCTCCTTCTGCTTGTCCCACTCCGTGGGACCAAGACACCAAGTGTGGAATCTCAGCACAGCAGTCCTGATGTGCAGAGTCCCCGAGACAACCCTTGGGGGGCTCGGAGGTCCTGGAATGTTGCCAGAAGTGTCTGGTGGCTGGACTTTGATCCTGCACAGGAGACGACACCTGTATGAGGATGGGAGGATCACACGGGGATAAGTGGTGAAGGGATAGGTTAACTATAGTGTGAAACACAGGTTTTAGAATTTCAGTACAGGGGGGTTCTAGGGAGACAAGATGGAGGAATTGGGCGTGTCCTGTTCTTCTTCTTCTTCTTCTTCTTGGCCTCCATCTGTGGTGGTGGTGGCACATTGGGATTGGCTCTTACTAAAAGTGCACTTGTCAAAAAGGGTGAAAGGCATTGGGGAAAATAGGTAAATATCTTATACGGAGTTTTGGGTATAAAGATAAGTGACCGCCCCGAGGGCTCTCAGTGTGCTCATGGCTGACGTGCTGTGTGGACCTCTGTTGGGCTGAGAGAAAACTTTGTAGAAAAAAAATTAATAAACACTGAAGGCCGAGAAAAAACCTGAAGACTCCTTTCGTCCTTTGGAGCGCGGGCTGTCCCAAGGCCATGCCAAGCCTTTCCAGGCCATCAAAAACAGCCGAGAACGGGACAACCAAGGACCTTCTTTAGCATCAGAAAACTTTTATGCTCTGCTCTTCAGACTTCATACTCAAGAGTTACTAAAATGCCTGTACTGGTAATTTCGCTGCCATTAAGTTTTATCATCACAACACCCAACCATGTTAAAACTGAATGCGAAGAACCTCAGCTTTTTAATTACTACATAAATTAAAACTTTCTGGTCTCAGAAAGCCACTTTGAATGCCAGATGATTCACCATAAATATTTTTCATCTATTATAGTACAGGATTTTATGATTGAAAATGGCCACCTCTGTAAGAAATCACCTTATTAGAGCTCTGATGGTTGTCCCCAATAAGCTCTCTCAGTTAGTAGCTTTTGCTGTCTCTCACTTGGATTATGTGCACCTTCAAAATGGTGGAGAAGAGCTATTGAAGCATTCTTGAACGTGCAAGCTTCTCAGCTGAAGCTTCTTGGCACACCAGTTCAAGGCACAAGCAACGGTGATGGTCCCAGAAAGGGAACATGGTGGCATGAGGATGGAGTGATAGTGACAACAGTAGGACAGGACTATTGACCAGATTCAGTAGGAAAAAATAGCAGAAGCTATAAATGAGGTAAAGAATTAGACAACAGACACTGGGCAAATCTTTGAATAGTTTTCATCATTGCCTGGAATGTAAAAGCATTCTTTAAACACTTGACAAAAAAATTATTCTTAAGCTATTATACAGGGAGATCTGTACAGGAGACTATGTCCTATATCCCACTAATTTTCTTAATAGCATGAAAACTTTGCTGAGAACAAGCATCAGTCACGACTCAGTGAATCTTGTTTATTTAAGGACATAGTCCTGAATAAAGAAATCAGTAACTGCTCCAACAATGTGATGGCACTGAATGAAATCAGTGCCCTGTCAAAGCTGCTAGAAATATTACTGTTGTCTTGGTGGAGAAGGACAGGCAGAAGCTGTTGAAAAAACTTTGTCCAAAAATTTCTACTTTCAGATTATATAAATTAATTACAGTGAAGTTGCACGTCTTGGTTATGGAAACTGAATCTCTTTCCCTTTGATTCTTGGGCCATACCTATTTGTGGACTTATTTGAGGGTCTGGGTAAAAGTTCTGCTAATGTGACATGTCTCAAAGTACTGAATTTTGAACTGTTTCTTCTAATTGTTTTTTTTTTCATAATGATTTAATCAGCAGTCACTTATTTATGGAAGAAATACTTCCCTACACAGCTCCGGTTACAAATTTTTAGAAATTGGAAATAAACTTTTGGTAGCACAAGAGATAAGAGGAAAATATGCAAAACATTGTGTTGCTTAAGAATATAATTTAAACTTTACCTTAGTGTTCTCATGAAAGCTGCAGATTGTAAAAGTACTTCTAGGCTTCAGTAGCATTGCCAGTTTAAATGATCAAATTTCCTTTAGCTAGCAGGCCCTCTGTACTAGACATCCGAGTTCAGGTTTGATACCATGTACACAAGTTACCCATACCTACCAATTACTTGATGTATTCTTTTTTACAGGAAAATAACTGTATCCTCCTTACCAGGGAGACTTCATTTCAGGAAAAGTGATAGCCCCTGGGTTTGATCACTGCTTGCATAGCTCCACATTAGCATCACCTGGGTAACAAAGGTTAATTTTGAATTCCCACACCCTTTGAGCTGTGCTGACTGAAACAGTTGTGCATTTCAGCTCCCAGCCAGAGCTCGCATTTAAAAATTTGAAAAAAAGTTAAAAATCATACATCAAGCATACGAAGCATACAATCATTTTAAACCAACTATGCTAGAAAAGGACTATTAATACAGAAATATGTCCAGATTTTAGCATGTTACTATCATGATGAACACTCCAAACAGCTGCCATCATGGGAGGGGTTTCTGCTGATATTTTATGTAGCCATCAAGAACAGAAATGGAGACAGGAGGTTCTGGAAGTATTGGCCTATTGGCCTGTATTTTGGGGTGGGGAGGGTGACTTTTTCCTCCTTTCTGTCACACAGAAGGAAACAGGTGAAGCTCATCAGGAATTTGAAGGAAGATATATGAATGGTGTATTGGATGCATGAAATTTCTCCCTGCAAAACAGGATGATATTTTTTATTCCTAGAGGGATGATGTGACAAGTAACAGGAGTCAGTTGTGTGTGTGAGGAGGAGGATGCCAACAAGTCAAAAGGGAGACTGCAGTCGTGCTTGGACACTTTTGACAAGAGTTAATGTTTAAGTTTATACCAATGTTCCCACAGTGTTCCTGTAGTTAGGGAAAGTGCCATTAGGATGAGAAAAGCATTTAATCTTTAAAGAGAGTTTGGCATCTTTTAATTTTTAGTACTCATCAGGCCTTGTTCACTATTTGATCAATTAGGAAAGTAAGTTGCATCAAAAAAGCTGGGAAGGAAGACATAGAGTTATAATATATTCAGGGTTGCTAAACCAGCCATACTTTACAAGGAAAGCAAACCTTTCAGGAAGTTTGGGGAGGGCAGATTGTTTTAAACTGGCCATTGACCCACATTTAACAACACAAATTTATGAATCACATGTAATGTGTAAATGTAATGTGTAAACATTTGTAATCAAATGGGTTTTGTTTTGCCAGTGTTGCATGGATGAGCTTTGTTCTACTCAGGGAACTTGGATCTAGATCACAGGATTTTAAGGAAATTATCTTCAGAAGTGCTTTAGAATGTGTGTGGAGAAGGGAAGGAGAAACAGACGTCTTTTGAGACAGATACCAAAAATTAGCCATTGGTCTGAGCCCCGTTATACATCAGCAGGACCCAAGAGCTGAGGCGGTCCCTGCAGCCCGGGGTTCCTCAGCCCCAGAGCTGTGCAGGTGTGCACGAGGCAAGCTGATCCTGTGCAGTCGGGTCCTGCTTCCCAGCTCCCAGCACATGGGGATCTTGTCCTGGGAGCAGCAGAGGGAAATGCTTTTACAGACGTGTTTTGTTGGACTCTCTCGTTCCAGGGACAGAGTGTTCCAGACTCAATCCCTCTGAATGTTAGTGGCTTCTCCTGAGTTAAGTGAGGTTAATAGCTAACCAAGCTGCATTATTGACTGCAGCAGTAAAAGATTTTTTTACCCTCATATGAACATTTATTTTGTGAGATTAGAGGTTTTGAGGGTCTTTTTCTGTCTTTTCTCTGGTGTTCTCCAGCAGAACAGTTTTCAAGTGAATGTCATTTTATAAAACAAATAATAATGAAATTGAAATTTTTTGTGAGATAAGAACAAATTTTAGGAAGAGGCATTCTTGTAGAAGATACTCCAGCTGTATTAGAAAGTGTTTCCAGGGATACAGTGTCTCCTCCTTCCTTAAAATATTTTCAATAACCTAACATAGAATTACAATTCAAGACAAATAATAGTAGTGAACTGAGAGTTAACAAAAGCTTCAGAATCTATAAACAAAGACAGTGGCCTCATATTTATGCATTGAAAAGGTATGTAACCATGAAAGTTAAAAAACTTCACTAGTGTGCTGTTCCTGAACTGCAAGATAAAATCAGGCAAAATAGTTGTTATTTGTATCTTTTATGCCTTGTATGTTAATTATCTTATCCATGTCTCTGATGCCACATGCATTACAAAAATGTTCTCTCCTCTTGTTTTCAGATAACGTGATTTGAAGATGCCAACCCCTTGGCAAAAATGCTGCAATAAAAAGTGCAGAACTGAGAATGCAAAAGCTGAAATGGACAATATGGCAGAGACAAGTGAAAAAATGCAGATGAAAAAAGAAATCACATTACTAAATGGAGTTTCTTTAATTGTAGGGAACATGATTGGCTCTGGCATATTTGTATCACCCCGAGGGGTTTTAATGTATAGTGCTTCCTATGGACTCTCACTGATCATCTGGGCACTTGGTGGGATTTTTTCCCTGTTTGGAGCTTTGTGTTACGTGGAACTGGGAACATCCATCATAAAATCTGGAGGCAGTTATGCCTATATTCTGGAGGCATTTGGGGCCTTTGTGGCCTTCATCAGACTCTGGTCTTCCTTGCTAATTATCGAACCAACGACTCAGGCAGTGATAGCAATCACATTTGCTAACTACATTGTTCAGCCAATTTTTCCCCACTGTGAGCCGCCGTATGACGCAGTCAGGCTGATTGCAGCCGCGTGTATATGTAAGTAGTGATTGCCAGAGGTTAAGAACTGTAATTATGCGTGGTCAGAGAAGGTTTTTCTAAATTTCTGTTTCTTTGTATCCTGTGAAAATAATTATTACCTATCAAAAACACGTTCTTAAGAACTAATAACCTTTTATTCAGATGTATTTTGTTTCGAGCTGGTATTACTAGAGGGGAGAGGAGAATTACAACAACTTGGCAGAGAGAAATTGTGACTGCTGACTAAAGGTACACAAATGTCTATGGGTTCACTGGCCAAACTGGCTGACAGGACACTGTCACATGCACAGATTCATTTATGAAAATGAAGGCAAGAAGTTCTTTGAGCATGTGTGGTTGCATGCTAGTGCCCTAACTATATAGAATGATTTCTAAATTATTTTCATTTTGAGAATTACAAAACCCTTTTTCTTCCTTTCAAAACTGAAGTATAGATTATAGGCAAGTCAAGGAAACAGAAGCAAAGACCAAAAAGATTTCTAGATAAGAAAAAGCCCACTTTGATCCATGCTTGAGAGCACTCTGTGTGGCCATGCCATGTTTGTTCTGCTCTCTTCTCCAGCAGCTGGGCTTCATACCTGGTGCCAATGCACACCATCACCTTTCCTCATCTATCTCTGTTTTGAATCAGGGGGTTTGGCAAGAGGGAGAAGTTTGCTGTGTTGCCCTGTGTGTGCTAGAGTGAGAGCAGATGGGCACATGGCTCAGCCCCTGGCTGGACCTGCTGCCAGCTGAGGGACAAGCCTGACTGCAGAAAATTTGGGAAAAGGAGGAAACTTCAAAACCATGAGCACAGAGTAATAGCATGCTGGCCTGGCTCAGTTCAGTATCTTCTCACAGCATGCAAACTATGTTTGTGCAGAAGTTGTCCTTATTCTGTACCAAAACTGGAGCTTAACTCGGCAGGAAGAAATTTTTGATATACAGGATATAAAGAAATACTCACATTTGTATGTAAATAGCTCTTGTTGAGTTTAATAATATTAAAATATTATTTTAAAGGAGAAGGAGCTAGTCCTAAAGTTCAAAGATTGATGTGTTTTGTCCTACTCACTGTCATGAAAACAGAAAACCATTGTGTAAATTTTAAACCAGGTATTTCATTTTAGTAAATCTGGGTGGTCCTGAAGTGGTGAAATTTAATTCAGTTTTACTCCGTGAAAGAGTAGTAGTATCTGGATAGATGGGTCTGAAATATGACTTAAGTGATGTTAAACATCCAGGGCTCCTTTCATGCATAATCTTTTTCTCTGCAGGTTCCTTAACATTTATTAACTGTGTTAATGTAAAGTGGGGTACCCGTGTACAAGATATTTTCACATATGCCAAAGTCATGGCTCTTATCTTGGTGATATCTGTTGGCCTTTACAAGATTGGCAAAGGTAAGAATCATTTTCATTTACCTAAATTCTATGAAATGAATCATATATGATGATTTCAAAATCCATGTAGGGACATCTTTAACACTTCTATATGAAGTGTTTCTTATTCTGCAAAAAAAATTTGGCCATAGGAAGATCAGATGTATTTTATGGCTTGTTAAGCAATAGAGGGTTAATTATTCAGGCCAAGTCCTGTGCTGCTTGGTCTGAATAGCAAATAGCAGCTGAATTAACATCACTTTACTGCTGACTAGTTAAAGTGAGCCTCGGTGTCTGACTCATGCATTGCTACCTGTCCTGTAACAGGACAGGGGAACAGAGTTTGCATTGCTCCTCACAGCTCCCCCCACCACCATTCTCACCCCACTGGCACCATTCCCCAGGCACAGCACCCTGCCAGAAGAGAACCAGAGAGGGTAAATCATAGGTGGGATTTGTGGGAGGGCATCTTTGTTCCTAGAAACAGAGGAGAAGACTGCAACAGTGCATTGTGTGAATCACTGTGGCATGGTGTTACTGTAAGGCATCACAGGGCAGATGAGCCACCTCCTATCAGCAGTAACTGGACTGAACTGAACACACTGCAAAGCTGGAGAGCAGTTTATGCTGGTGCTACCTCAGAGCTTTGCATATAGCAATAGATTTGATTTTATTAATTTAGGCCTCTGGTACAGTGAATTCTCCTCTAGTTCTAGCTCTGCTGCTTAGATTACTAAGGTTTTTACATTTTCATTTTCTCTGAAATTCTTAAATTGCATAGCCTTTATCTTTATTCCATTGAAAAAAAGGTGGTTTTCCCTCTCCAGTTTAGGAATTATCTTTTTCTCCTGCTAAATTAGCTTATAAAACCTAACAAGCATGCTTTCTTTTCCATTTCTGTTTGCTGACCTCCTCCTTTCCTTTGCTGCAGTTGCATCAGGTGTTACACCATAAAGCTGCATTAGATTTTAGGAAAGCTTTCTGGTTTAGCCATTACCTGTGCATGTCAGTTGTCACCAGCTGGTTGAAGTCTAATGGGACCTGGACAACCAAACCCAGCCCTAAGGGCAGAGAGGTGAACATTCTGAGAAGAAGCATTGCTTAAGGGTCACAGTTGCATGAAGGAGTAGTTCCCCTCATAAAACTGCTGCAGTTTTGCAAAAGTGTGATTCTGTGATGTCACCTCTGTAGCAGCACCGCCCCTGCTTTCAAATTGCCTCCTTCAAAACTGCCTCCCCTCCTGCTCACTGCTGTGCTGCTGGGGGCAGGGGCTGCTCCCTCTGGTCACACATACTGCCCATTTTGTTTCCTCTGCATTGCTCTGTGGGCTCGGGGAGGGTTGAAGCATAAGGGGAACATTTTGGTGAGGCACACAAAGTGCTGAGAGCTTTTACTGGTAGTAAAGGTCTCATCTCTGCTTTGCTTAAGCAGAACTGAGCACTTAAATACGGGAAAGTCTGGGAGGAGGAATGATGCCAACTTCTGGAGGAAGCTGTGATCAGGTCAATGACCCTTTTAAATTCAGCAGCTGTTTTAATGAAAAGAACAGTTATGATGTTTTAGCCCTGCCTTATTCTTTCTGATGTGCTTGGATACACTTCTTGTGTTAAAGGTCTGTAAATATAACTGATTCTGAATATGAACTGTCTTTACCAAAAAAAAAACAACTCAAAAAACTCTCCTTGAACATTTTGGATTTTTCTTTCTTTTACCTTCCAACTGTTTTCTTCTCCCAAGTTTGTGTACATCTCATATCTTCTCTTCTTTGGTTCAAACAGTCTCCTGCTCTTCGGTGACTGAATTGCATTTGTAGTATCTAAAAACTCCTTAGTTGAATCAGTGCTTTCATTTTACAAAAAAAGACTACAAAAAGACATTACTTTCTTTTCTAATTGAAGTTTCAGCATGTTTCTGTCTTCTCTTAATATTTAACCCGCTTCCATTTTCATTAGATGGTAGACTTTCCTTCTGCAATCTCAGCAAGGCCTTTCTTCCCCTTTCCAGCACGGCAGTGAAGGCTTGTGCAGTTTCATTAACATTTGGCCTATTTTGAAGCACTCTGCAGGTTCTCATCTCAACCAATGGAGCTTAACGAAAGCAGAATTTTGAAAGGAAAAATTTTTAATTTCATCCCTTAGTTTTGGGGAAGCCCCTTGTGGGTCAGAGCATCCCACTGAAAAGTAAAGGAGGTCCCCCTCTAGTGGCCACTAATTCATCTGGGGAAAATAAAAGCGCAGCTGTTAAAAAAGGAATATGAGACAGATTCAGGAACTGAAACTGGGTCTGCCAAGCGCCTCATCCTGGCTGACAGGGCACTGCATGCCCTCGGTATGGCTCCCTCCTTCCGAAGGGTCAGCAGTAATGTCTGTGAATTCTGGTAAATTACAAAAGTCACATCCAAATAACAAACATGTGAAAATGTTCTCTTTTCTCCCTGTGCAAGTGTAGCTGTCTGAACATCTGGTTGAAATTCTCTTGTTTGTTAATTAAAAATGTAAGTTGTGCAGTTTTAGAAACAGTAATGAAACCCGGATGCAGTGGGGTGTTATTTCCTTTTGGTTAGCTGGCACTTGAGGTGTAGTGCCCGTCTAAATTGCAATCCTTGAAATGTAACAGTCAATTGGCACCTGCCATTTGTACAGGGGAAACTGAAAACCTGAGAGCTCCGTTTGAGGGCTCAGCAACAAACCCAGGGATGATTGCCCTGGCTCTCTACTCTGCCCTCTTCTCCTACTCAGGATGGGACACGCTCAACTATGTCACCGAGGAAATGCAGAATCCTGAGAGGTAAACACAGGCTTTCCCTTTGAACCGCTGACAGGGGATGGCAGGACAAGCCACTCTGTATTTGTTTCTGATTAGTCAAATTATTTTCTCTTCAAATGAAGGAGTAAGTAGGAGAACTCTTTCTGATTATTGTGCTCATTTATCAGTTATATCACACTAATGAATCCTTTACCTGCATATGTGTATTTTTCATCTTCCACTTCAGACTACAATTTTTAAAGAAGAAGAACAAATCCCTGCTGGAAGCAAGGAAAAGCAAAGGTGCATCTGGCCCTCTAAAATTCCCTGCATCTCTTCAGTTAGGCAGAATTATTTTCCCAAGACATTTTTTGCCACCAGTAGAGTAAGACTGTGTCAGATTTGTGGCTTTTATGATGTGATCTTCAGCATTATGGTTTATGGGCAAATATCATCTCCTCCCTTCTGTAGGGATGGCAGCCCTGTGGGAGTTGGCTTGAGTCAGCCACTCAAGCTGATATAGTCCATCTTGTCTTGGGACATGCATAGGTTATGAGTCAGGGGAAAATGCCACAATCAAGAAAATTCCTAAGTCTGTGCTTAAATCGTATTGTTTCAGAGCTCTCTTACATTGCTGCATATAACAGACAGTGTATTAAATTTACATGTATGAATGTTTTAAGGCTTTTTCTTTTAAACTTGTGACAGACACACAAGCAACAAACTAAGCTTTTTATGGCTTTATGGCATTGTTTCACACATGTTGTTTGTGAAACTGCTGTTGTTTTGTAACCCCATGATTCAAAATGATGGATTACAAGACGTGATGGAGGTATCCATTCTGGGAACCATCTTCTATTTAATTATTTCTTTTTTAAATAACATGGAATAATTTTTCCATTTTCCTTTTGCAGGAACTTGCCTCTTTCTATTGCAATTTCAATGCCTATTGTAGCTATTATTTACTTGTTGACTAATATAGCATACTATGTAGTGTTGGACATGTCAGCTCTCCTCACAAGTGATGCGGTGGCTGTGGTAAGTTGTGGAACATAACTCAGACAAAAGACATTGCAGGAAAATTTCAGGTAGCATGCTTGGCAAACAGCTGAAATACTATCATGTTGAAGGCTGTTTAAAACATTTTTTTCATGTAACAGTACCAGAAGGTGCATATCAAGAATATATCAAATAAATATGCTCTTGAAAAATTGTCTTTTATACTCTGTAAATCCTGCTCTTAACACTACATCATAGGAAAGATGCTTTTGTCAGGACCAAGGAGCTAAAGAAAGTCTGGGTTGTTGGAGAACCAGGTTTTTTTGTTATCATTCTAATGTACAGTATGTAATGTTTAATGCTGCACAACCACAGCAATATTTTCAGTGCAGAAATGTGCACTGAAATGTTTTTTAAACCTTATCAATATTTTATACAAAAATAAAATAATAATTCATGGATTACTACAGTTGGGATTGGCAGAATACTTTAAAGCAAATACATCATCCTCTTTTCCATCACTGAATTAATCTAGGCTTAAATTTTTTTAAAAATATTTTTAATGTATCTGCCAATTTTATTTTGATGCTGATCAGCTTTTCCAAATTCTAATTTCCTAAGTCATTTTTGGGTGCCATCAAAAAGCATGGACTATGACACTACATTTGGGATAATGTGTTTTCATGAGAGTTTCTCAGAATTATCCATATTCCTAACACAGTGGGCCTCACCATTATTTTTTTTTTCTGTTACAGACATTTGCAGGTGAAACCCTTAGTCATGCCAAGTGGATAATTCCTATAGCAGTGGCCATGTCTTGCTATAGTGGCTTAAACTCATCAATTATTGCAGCATCTCGGTATGGAATAGAAGATTTATTTTAAATAATTGAAGAGGAATCTATAATCTGCCTTCTTTACTAGTTTGGTAATTTTTGCCATGTCAAGTCATACATTTATGATGGAGGTGTTTTTACAGTCAGATGTCTTCTCATGATTAGCAACATTTGATAAACTAAAGCCACTTAAGAAGAGAACAGCACTTACAACAGAGTAATAAAAGAATTGTTCCTTTGCTTTGTCAGGAAGCAAAAAGCTCTTCCTATGGTTGAGTTTCCCTAGTCTTTTTTTAGGCTGTTCTATGTTGGAGCCAGGGAAGGACACCTCCCTGTCAGTCTGAGCTTGATTCACGTGAAGTGCTTCACGCCGGTCCCCGCTCTCCTGTTCAACGTAAGTGACACCCAGCCTGCCTGGCACTTGGGGTTTGCACCTGGGGGAAAACATCTCTGCTCCGCCCTGGACTTCTCACAGACTTCTCCTGCCCTGGAGACATCTTCTGCATATGCCCACAACTTTTAAACTCATTGAGGGGGTGGGAGGGGTGTTATTTTGTGTCATAGGGGGGTTTTTTTTCAGTGGAAAGAGAATGGCTTGATTCGTTCATGGGCTCTCCAAACAATATTAGTGAGAAGTACAATAGCATTGCTGAGAAAACAGAGAATGGCTAAAGATGTAATGGTATAGACAAGGGCTGTTTATGTCTTTTACGTGAGCTTTTAAAGTTTCACTGGAGGAGAACATGTCAGGAGCATCTCTTCGACCCTGCCGTAGGCTGATGTTCTACAACTGTAGTTATAACAGGAATGACAAAGCTCTTAAAATTAAATTTCTACCATTGGATGCCTATAGTCCTGTTGACTTTTTTTCTGTTGCCACTATAAAGATGAGATCTTGTGTTATAGAATTACTGGAAATTATTTTCATAAATAATCTATGTATTTAAGCATACATTTTATTTGATGTCTGCCATTGCCATGTGTTACATATCATTTATGAATAGATTATCATACTCACCCTGCTTGACATCAAATAATTTACTAAAAATTATAATTTCATTATAAAGACTCTTCTCACAGGGACTCTGTTTGCACTAGCAAGTTGATTTATACTCTCTGGGTATACCACCATTCACATTTTTCATGTGGAAAGTGGAAGTTTTTCTGCTCATCTGTTAAAATAGACATTGAATTCCTGGTGGTTTAGGTCTTTCTGCGCAGGCAGTATAGCACACCTGCAGGGCACAGAATTTTCTCTAATGGTTTCAGTTTATGAGTGGACTTAAATCCTAAGCTCATATAAATAGGCTGAAACAGGTCAGTCTATAATTTTAGTCTGTCCTTTTCACATTAAAAAGTCTTTGTTTTTTATTGTTTCTAGGGCTTAATGACTTTGCTTTATCTCCTTGTGGAAGATGTTTTCCTCCTTATTAATTACTACTGCTTCAACTACTGGCTCTTTGTGGGTCTATCTATTGCAGGACTAATCTATCTGAGATATACTCAGCCACATAGACCACGGCCTGTTAAAGTAAGTAAAAAAGTCAGGAAGAAAGCTCTAAAAGCCAGCTAATGCATGTGTTTATATGACCTTTAATATCACAATCATAACAGTACCATTTATATTATAGATTATTGATTAGCCATAGCAATTCTTTCAAAATACAAGATGAAGGAGCAAAACCCATTAAGAGTCCACAAGAACATCTGTTCTGGTAGTTTTGCTGTGAGATTGAAATGATATACACCATTTATTCCTCTGTCATTCAGACTTATTATAATGTTTGTTTCAAAAAAAAAAAAAATGGAATAAATAAATAAATGTCTGAGGTTTTTAACCCATCCTGGGAGAACAGCAGACTCAGTAGAGCTGGTGATGGAAGCTCCAGAGAGGTTAACACTCTGATCAAACCTACATGATTTAACAAGCACAGTAAAATCCTTCCAAAGCCCATAAACGTCCAGAATTCTGCCCACACAGAAGTTATCTTAAATTATCAAATATATTTTGAATGTTCCCTCCCACTGGGTAGTGGTCATAAACAGTAAAATGCAAGTTTGGTGATTGACTTAGAAGAGCATTTGACTATCAGTTAGGCAAGGGTGAGTGCACAGAAACAAAGTGTGCCTAAAACCTGTTTCTAGTTTTAATCCAGTGATTGTCCAGGAAGCAAGGATGGAAACACACAGCAGGCACACAAAACCATGCACTGGCTCCTGTGTGTTGGCTCCGTGACCTGCATTTTGGCTCTGCAGTGATGCAGTAAAAATCAAGAGAATTACAACTTAACACCCCCCAAATATTTCTTCTTTGTCAATCTCTCTTCCTAAACTCCTGCATCATTTTTACAAACACATTTTCTTTCCACTAAAGTGTAACATCCTGATTAATTTTTAAAAAGTTCAAACAAAGGCATAAATATTCTAAGCACCTCCTGCTAGAAACCTTCCTAATTTTCCACAGCAGACCAAATTTTCCTGAAGCATGTTCACACTCAATTTCCAAACTTTCCCACAAAATATGTGGAAGATAAAGATTAAATCTTGCCTTATTGGCAGTTTTGCCTCTGATTCTACTAAGCATTACAGTCAGATTTTACACAAAGACTGTTTAATTCCTGTCAGCATTTGCCAGCTTAGTCAACACCACAACTCCACGTACACCATTTCCTTTTCTGAAATGCAGCAGTTGGTTTTCATCAACTTATATTTTTAACCTTTATAAGGAAAAAAAAGTATTTATAACAGTAAACTCTCACCAATTTCAGCTGGAATTCAAATGTCAACTCCTGGACCCTTGAGAAGGCTCACTACTAGAGACAGGAAAAATAAAAAGTGAAAAATAAATTCATAAAGAGGTTTTTGAAACCTTCATAGAATCATAAAAGGTCAAGGTTTGGAAGGGACCTTAAAGATCCCCTAGTCCTAACCATCCCTGCCACAGGCAGGGACAATTTCCACCAGACCAGGTTGCTCAAGGATTTATCCAACCTAGCCTTGAACTACTGCGAGAGTTTGGGTATCCACAACCTCCCTGGGCAACCAGTTCCAGTGTCTCGCCACTTTCACAGTGGAGAATTTCTTCCTAATACCTTGTCGCAGACATTTTTTCATAGAAATCCTTTCTTTGGGATTTGTGCATCTTCTGGGAAGCTGAGGCCCCAGAAAGAGAATGTAAACAATGATTATCTGCTGCTGTGAAATGCAATAGGATGCACCTGTGATTGGTTCATGTTCCATGTGTACAATTAAGGGCCAATCACAGGGCAAGCTTTCTGGAACACAGGGACAGAGAACTCTCTCGTTTTTACATTCTTTTCTATTCTTAGCTTAGCTTAGCAGCCTCTGCAATTTCTCTTCATATTCTTTTTAGTATAGTTATAATGTATTATATATCATATATCAATAAATCCTGCCTTCTGATCATCAAACAAGATTCTCATCCTTCTCTCACCCCAGCGACCTCATCAGGTCGCTGTAATAATACCTAACCTAAATTTCTCCTCTTTCAGTTTGTACCCATTATTCCTTATCCTATCACTACATTTCCTGGTGAAGAATCCCTCTCCAGCTTCCCTGTAGGCCCCCTAAGACACTGGAAGGTTGCTGTGAGGTGTCCATGCAACCTTTTCTTCTCTTGGCTGAACAGCCCCAGCTTTCTCAGCTGCTGTCGTAGGGAAGGTGCTCCAGCCATATCAGCTTCATGGCCCAACTTTCCTTATTTGTCATATGATATTTGTTAAGTGCCCACAAAAAGGGTTGTAAATCAGTCCTTTAGTTCTACAACATCAAGAATGTAGTTGAAGGTCTAGAGGGGTAGTTCCCAACCAAAAATACAGGTAACAATTCTGAACTGAAGTTGGAGAGAAAGCTACCCATTACTTAAAGTACTTCTTTCAAAGGTTGATCTTTTACTAATTGTAAAGGAACTGCGTTTATGCAGGCCTGAAAAAAATAAAATAGATGCTCAGATGTATACCAAATAAGAGACTCTCAGCAGTGTACACAGAAGTTAATAAATTATGCTGACTGTAAGCAGTCAAAAAGATTCAGTACATACTTTTATTATTGACATGTCTAACTTTAATCTGCAAAGCCTGAATTTTTACAATAGAGTGTTTGTTGCATCTTTTAACAAATGCTGTATTTTTCTTTTGTCTTCACAGCTTAGCCTCTTCTTCCCTATAGTATATTGCTTGTGTTCCCTATTCCTGATTATAGTGCCTCTCTACAGTGACACAATCAATTCCCTTATTGGGGTTGGCATTGCCCTCTCAGGCATTCCTGCATATTATTTGGGAGTCTATCTGCCAGTTGAAAAACGACCTAAATGTCTTCTTTGGCTCTCTGGTAAGCAACATCATGTCCCAGTCACCATGTCAAAACCTTGGTCAGAAGAAGGAAAGAACAATTTTTCCTGAAATCCTTATTTATATGAAGTTTGGCTATGCTTTGGTATGTGGCATGTCTGAGATCATCTGCTTTATCACATGGTCCTGAAAACAAAACCATGCTTACCTGTACAAAACAGGCCAATATGTAGGTGTCATAACTATGTTGGCTCAATAAAAGCCACGTAGGATTGTGAATACTAAACCTAATCTTTTTAATACCCTGGAAGGCAGAAATACCAGAACATCTTTGCTTCACTTTCCATCCAAGAATGGAAAAATCCAAATCAGAGGAGTCCACAGATTTTCAAAAACAATGAAATAATTAATTATTGGCTTGAAGGGTAGTTGCCAGTCCTCAAATTCAGGCAGTCTGGAAAAGCAAATCTTTAATATTTTTGTTTATTATACTTTGAATTCAGCTATCAGCAATGAAAATGTTGATGAAAACCTGATTAAACAAGAATTTCAGTTTAATAATTGGCTTCTTTTGCTTTTAGTTATTTATAACTTATGCCTAATTTTATTGATTAAGGTGTTTCAAGATTTTTCTACTATCTGTGTAATGTTTTCAAATCCTCAAAATCCAGATGTATGTCTAAGATATATTTAAATTTCTGTCACACATTTTTGCCACTACAGCTACAACAACGAAGTACGTTCAGATGCTCTTCTACTGTGCTCTGTCAGACCTGGACATAGATGTAGAACCCACCGCAGCCAAGAGTAAATAGAGTTGCCTCAACATTGAGAATTGTGCCTTGACATCTCCTATCTGGAACAATTTTTATTATCTGAAGTTCTCCCCACATGTTCAGTCATACTAGAGTACCAACCACTGTACTGTGCATCAGTTTGATGTCAGTTAAGTTGTGATGGTTTTGTAAAACACTCTGTTTTCCAGGATTTCTTTTTAAAATTCTGTTTGTTAATATTGAGTTATATTGTAACATGTTGAAACTATAAAGCACTTTGTTGGAAAGGATGAAATTTTGACAAGAAAGTTTCACAGATATGTGTGCTTGGCAGAAAGCTCTTTGAATGTAGAATCTGAGAATGAAATAGACGTGGAAGCAAATTTTGATATAGAACAATACATGCCTAAATTGACAACTGCTGAGCCAGTCGTTACTGAACAACTAAGAAAGCAAAGGTTAAGTCATGTTGCTAGGGTGTTTTATGACTAGAGCAAAGGATATGTTGACCCCAAACAAAAAGATATTTTTACCAAGCAGAAATAGGTCTTGGGAAAAGCAGAAACAGGCAAACAAGCATGCCAATGTGGCAAGTCGGAAAAACGTCTAAGAATTCTTCGCTGCAAGAAAACTGAAAAACAACTTTAAGCTTAAACTGTAACATATTAACTCATGTGATTGGATAGTATTGACCATAATATGGTAATGATAGTAATTATGATAGGCTATAGGTAATAGTAAAGGTATTAATTGGTTATGTATGAAGATGTTCAGCAAAGAAAAATATATAATGCAATATACCCAAAACTAAAGGGTCTTCAGTCTTGTCTATAGCTGAAACTGACAGCTGTAGGCATGGCTCTGTCACCCACAACCCAAGACTGCTTTAAAATCTTGTATACAATAAACAGCATTTTGAAGAGCCACCTGGAGTCCTGCATCTCTCGTCTCAGGCTCTTACTAATGGCGCCCACATTTTAGTAGGCAAACTCGGACTTTTAGCAGTAAGAGACCTCCTGGTGAACTCAGAAGGAAGAGCCCACAAGGAGGAACAGGCACCTGAAAGGACAGTGACTGGAGGCCGGACAGGTGTTGCTGCAGGACAGTACCTGGATTGGAGCTCAACGTACAGCAAGGAGGACAGCAGGTGAGCACTGGGGAATCAATGGGGCAGAATGTGTCTGCCGATCAGAGACATGTGTGTCAGCATTTAAAATATCTAATTAAATCCAGTCCAAATAAATTACCAAAACAAGAGCTTAAAAAGCTTCTACCATGGACTGAGACCAAGTTCCCAAATGCCGATTCTACGGCTGTGTTTACCGGAGACCTTTGGGACTCTGTGGGGGTCAAATGATACAATGCTATTTCTCACCACAACAAAACAGCAGCAGATTTACTCCCCACTTGCTGTGTGCTTGTAGAAATGTTTTCTGGGAAACTCTCGCTGCAGTGCCCTTTCCCCCCACCATTCCACCTGAACCCCCCCGTGCCGCCTCTCCAGCCAAGAGAGGGGAGGAGGAAGAGGGATAGGAAAACACCAACTGCAGCTGCAGTAAGAGAGGTAGACCAAGCTAAAAGCTACTCTACCTCAGAGGATGAGGGGGATCCCTTAAATCCAACACCAAATCCTTAAATCCATCACCAACAAACCCCGAAAACCAACCAGATTTGTTTCCAAATAATCCCAGGGCTTCCGCTGTGACTGGAGGAGATCTTTTAATCATGTCGCCGCCGCCAGCAGGAAGCACTGAGGGACCCACTAAATCATCCCCCAGATCTCTTATGCCTGCAGCTTGCAATACTTTAGAGAAAATTACTGATGCTCTGCAAAATAGACCAGCACATCTCTATGTTCCAGATAAACCTTTTTTCCTTGCAGTTTTAGGAGAAACACTGAGACTGTATGGCCTCATCTTTCAATGGGACTCCTCTCAAAATGATCCTTTGCTAATAACTGAATGGGTTTGTCTTTCTTACAGGTCACCAAAGACAATTTTTACATCTTTAGAGATGATTTCTCAAATCATCATCAAAGGCAAAGCAAGGCTTCTTTCTACTGCAAGTTGTGAATTTACAATCAACTATTTACCGATAATTAAATCCTATTTTGATTGGGCCATGCAAAAGTCAGATTTGTTGTATGCCTTGTTAGATTTTCCAGGTGTTTGCTCCATTCATTATCCAGCACACGAATTGATCAAAGCTAAATTATGCTACAAAGAGAAACCCCTTATCAGTGAAGAACCTTTAGAATCTCTTCAGTTATGGGCCAGGACAAACACACAAGGCAGTAGTTACATGGCAAAAAAAAAACAAACTACTAAATCCTGGGAACAAGATGTTCAAAAAGTCAAAGGTTCTCCTCAGACTGTTGAATTGGCAGCCGTGGTAAGAGCATTTCAACTCTTTCCAGAGCCTTTTAACTTAGTCACTGATTCAGCATACATTGCTAACATTGTTAGGAGAATTGAAGGATCTGTTTTAAAAGATGTTAGGAACAACAAATTGTCTTTGGCTCACCTGTCTTTATCAAATTTTGTCACACAGAACTAATCCGTATTTTGTTGCCCACATTAGAGCTCACTCTGGTCTCCCAGGGTTTATAGCAGAAGGGAATGCACGAGCTGATGCATTGGCATCAGGAGCATGTAGTGAGGGAGCTGCAGGAGACACTGAAGATTCCACTTTGGTGCTTCCTGCAGCTACCTTGCCTAACATTGTTGAACAATCTCAATTGAGTCATGCCTTTTTTCACCAAAATGCAGAGGCGCTCAGATGAGATTTTCACATTTCCCTAGAGCAACCACAAGCCATTATTAGGGCTTGCCCTGACTGCTAGCTTGTCCAACCTATCCCTTCTACATATGCCACCAACCCAAGAGGGTTGGAAAGTTTTCAAAAATGGCAAACAGATGTCACAAAGTACCCTTCTTTTGGGAAATTTAAAAATATCCATGTCTCTATTGATACATTTTCTAAAGCAGTTTTTGCTTTAGGAGGACACATTTAGGAGGAACAGCTAAACATGTTTGCCAGCATTTTTCACAAGCATTTTTCTCATTAGGTGTCCCTCAAGAAATCAAAACTGATAATGGTCTTTCATATGCTTCACAAGAATTGGCCACATTTTTAAATGACTGGGGTGTTTGCCATACATTTGGTATTCCCTACTCTCCCACAAGCCAGGGAATGGTAGAAAGAACACATCAAACTCTAAAACACATTTTAGATCAACAGAAAGGGGGGGAGCCCAGGATACACCTCAAATGAGATTGAATAAAGCTTTGTATATTTACAACTTTTTGAATAGCTCTGCAGAAGAGCCTGATCCCCCCATTTACAGATATTTCATGAACAAAAAAGCAAAACTGAAAGAGTACCCCCAGTTTTAATTAAAAATCTAGAATCAGGACAAATAGAAGGACCATATGATCTTATAACATGGGGCAAGGGGTTTGCATGAATTTCTACAGATATAGGACTCAAGTGGCTGCCAGCAAAAAACGTGAAACTGCACCACCCATCAAAGCCCATGGATGCTTCCACACCAGCCAGTGACCCTGCGAGTGGAAGCCGAGAAACCAGCACCCAAACATGAATTATGCAGAATCACCCAAAGAAAATTGTCTGCCAGAAACAGTTCAAGAAAATAATGGAGTTTTATTATTATTTGTGTGGGTGAATGCAGCTTTTACCCTTTTGTTTTTATTTTTACAGTGAAGCTTTACCTGTAACTCAACCAAAGACAAATGTTTGGGTTTCTTTAGCCAAGTCCACAGGCTCCGACACCATTTCCTTATCCAACTCAATCCCCTGATAAAACTCTTTCAACTTGTTTGGTTGGAGTGCCTTTCCCAGAAACTTTTGATAATGTCACTTTTGATAAATATTGGCCATATGACAATCATGACATTTCCCCAACTCCCAGCCTGAGACACCAAACTTATATTGGTAATTATGAAGCTGATAAATCTGACATTCAAGAATTAGAATTTTTAGGCTCATTAACTATGGACACTTGTTACTTGTTTCATTTTGTGGGAAAAAATAGCCCTCATCTAAACGTTACTCCTTATCACCCAGTTTATAGTAATGACTTGGTGTCATCAAACTAAGCTTCTTACATACAATGAACCTCACACAAATAATTTTAACAAACTTCCTATTCAATTTCCTAAAGGAATTGTCTTATCTGTGGAGACAGGGCTTGGCAAGGTATTCCCTCAAAATCAGATGGTGCCTCTTGTGCCCTGGGACAACTTACAATAATTGCTCCCAGTGTCAAAAAAGCAATCAAAAAGAAAAACAGAAAAATAACATCTTCCTTGGGGCATCATTATGACAGCAACTGTGATAGTGAGTTTCACCCTTGGAACTCTAGAAAATCAATTGTTACAAGCATTTTTTTGCTTCAGCTGTCCTCAATAGCACTGAAACAGTTAAACAAATTAGGGTGTTGGCTCAGTAAAGAAATAAACTCTGCTATGATTAATGATTTGCTGACAGATGAAGTCAGACATGCCACTTTATGAAATAGAGCTGCCATTGACTTCCTTTTACTAGCACATGGGCATGGCTGGGAAGATTTTCAAGGATTGTGTTGTATGAACTTGTCTGATCATTCTACTTCTATTCATAAACAGCTGCAAAACTTAAGAGATTTAGCTAACCAAAGTTCAGCAGATGAAACAGTCTTGGCTAGACTGTTTGTTTGATGGTTGGAGCTTTGCACCTTGGCTGAAGGAACTTTGTAAAGTAGGCTTGATTGTTTTAGTGGTGATAATTATAATTATAGTAGTGGTGCCCTCTGCACTTCAATGTGTGCAGAGAATGATGAATAAGAAGACAGTTTCTAGCATCTTTGTTGTTCATCAGAATGGGGGAGATGTTGGAAAGGATGAACATTTGACAAGAAAGTTTCACAGGTATGTGTGCTTGGCAGAAAGGTCTCTGAATGTAGAATCTGAGAAAGAAATAGGGATGGAAGCAACTTTTGATATAGAAGAATGATAGATGTGTAAATTGAGGTTTGCTGA